TCACTGTAAGTTCATATACTATTCCTGCTTAATATGGCATTTATCTTCAAATTGAACATAGTAATATTAAATTTAGTCATAGGATTTAAACACTGTGAGTTGTTCTCTAAAAGGATTGATATGGAACTTTAAAAAGGAATTTAATGTTCCCTACATTATATTTCTTCAATCTGGACTTGTGGATTCCCTATATTAGGTTTTGACACCCTTAACAGCTGATTTGTGTTAAATGGGATGGAAATAATATGCCATTCATTACTACTTAAATGGAAAACAGTACAAAGGAAAACTGAAGATTTGGGACCTATGTGTAAGCTTATGTGAATGTTCTTCCATATTCACTTCACCATGCATTTCAGTGGATCTTTACTACATCAACACACATGAGTGCAGTGAATAGGACTTATCAATGGTAAATCCAATCATTAATCTGGGTTGAATGTGGAGTTCCTAAAACTTGATAGTACTGAGTAGATTGACATGAAAGTTAGTTTCAAATCTCAAATCAACAAAATCTTTTTTTTAATCTTCCCAGGCACCTGTCACTTATGAAGCCCTGGTAGAGATGGAATATCTGGACATGGTGGTGAATGAAACTATGAGATTACACCCAGTTGCTATCAGGCTTAACAGGCTCAATAAGAAAGATGCTGAGATCAATGGTGTGTTCATTCCCAAAGGGACACAGGTGGCCATACCTGTCTTTGTTCTTCACCGAGATCCAAAATACTGGCCAGATCCTGAGGAGTTCCGTCCTGAAAGGTATGAGGACACTGAGAAGGGAACATACACAGAACCAGACTTCTTTAAGTATGTTAAGATGTCTATTACTGTAATCACATAAAAATAAATTTGTATTATTGCATGTATATTTGATTTTAGAATATCTGTAGTACAATTTGATAATTATTGTAAAAACTACAGACATTTTAATTGACCAAAAAATGAGAGTTCTATATTTTGTAATTTTGTTTTAGAGTCTTAGACCTGTCTTGGTTAGGGTTTTGAATGTTGTGAAGAAATACTTTGACCATGGCAACTCTTACAAAGTAAAACATTTCTTTCGGGCTGGCTTACAGTTCAGAGGTTTAGTCCATTATCATCATCATGGAGGGAAGCATGGCAGCATGCAG